GACGCGCGTCGGGTCACTCTCCCTTCCTCCTCTCCTCCTCCTCCCCTCCTCCTCCCCCTCCTCTCCCCTCCTCCTCCTCCTCCTCCTCTCTCCTCCTCTCCCCTCCTCCTCCTCCCTCCTCCTCCTCCTCCTCCTCCTCCTCCTCCTCCTCCTCCTCCGCCCCCGCCTCCTCCTCCTCTCCTCCTCCTCCTCCCCCCTCCATCCTCCTCCTCCTCCTCCTCCTCCCTCCTCCTCCCTCCCTCCTCCTCCTCCTCCTCCTCCTCCTCCTCCTCCTCCTCCTCCTCCTCCTCCTCCTCCTCCTCCTCCTCCTCATTTTCCTCCTCCTCCTCCTCCCCCTCCTCCGCCTCCTACTCCGCCACGTTTTCATTTACCTCCGACGTCTTATCACGCATCCCGTCACCATCGAGGGCCGAGGTATTCAGGGTCGGCGGCACTGGCCGTAAGGCCTTAGCAATATCAATGACCGAAAACGTACCCGAAGATGTGACCAGACACGTAGTGTGACCGAAATTGGAACCGAAAGTGTAAATCGCCGTGGTTTCGAACCAAACCCTTCGATCATACTCGGGCGCGGCCAGAAAATCTCGGGCGCCAGCTTCGGCCACACTCAGGCAGAGTTTCGCGTACAGTTTCGGTCACGACGCCTCCCTCATTAGAGGCCTCCTAGAGAGGGTCGGAATACATGGGGTCGGGGGATCGCGCCGCATCGCCAATACATCGGCAATGCATCGGCGATGCACCGGCGATGCATCGTCGACGTGGGCAATGCATCGGCGACATCGACGTGAAGGAAATCGGGCTCCACATCGAGCCGCTTCGGCGAGGCATCGACGATGCGACGCGATCCTCCGACCCCATCTACTCTTAGGTCGGGCACGTCCTCCTACAGGCGGATTTTGGACGAATAATGACAATAGTTTTTTTAAGTATCAAAAATTGGCAAACAAAATAAAACAAAACAACAACAACAACAACAAAAAAACAAAAAAAAAAAAATGATCAAGAAATCGTCCCCTGACTATTGTTGGACTATTGTAAAACAAAAAAATCCTCCTCTAGAGGGATACGCCCGAGTGAAATCTACTCCGCAACCCCCTCCCGGGAGGCCGAAAGACGGACGGAGACGAGGCCCGCCACGGGGCGGCAACAGGCCCAGACCCCCCGACGCCGCGATTTGTTCCCCCGACGTCGACCCCCAGGCGTAAGGACGAGCCGTTTTTCTCCCTCCCCCCCCCTCCCTCCCGTCCTCCTCCCCTTCCCTCCCCCCCCCCTCCCTCCCGTCCTCCTCCCCTTCCCTTCCCCCCCTCAGCGCAGTGGCACAAAGTTTGCTCACTCGTCGTGCACGTACTGCACATCGTGCTTGCAGGTCGCCACGCTTTTGATGTTCCAAATCGTGCCCCGCCCGTTCACGTGCCAACCTGTTGGTTTGACCGGGCCTCTGCTGCTGACGACCCCAGAAGATTTTTATCCCAACGTCGGCCCGAAGAGTTCGGTCGGGCGTGTCCTCCAAAGGGCGGATTCTGGAGGAAAAACCAAAAATTAGCCTGACGAAAGACCCAGCCACACGCAGGTGTGAGCACCGCAATTGTGATTCACTTTTTCGGCGGTGATCCCTGTGAGCAACGACCAGTGCTAGGGGTGTGCCGACATGAGTGGCGTGGTACACAACGCGAACGAAAACGATTGATCTGAGTACGTAGGGAGACTGAGCGCGGGTGAATCTGAGCGCGAGTGCGTATGACTGTGAATGAATCTGCGTGCGAGCGAATCTCGTGCATGAATGCGAATATGACAAAGCATGGTGTACTTGTATATGAATATCAATAATTTGAGAACGACTGCTTCTGAGTACTCGTGACGCTGGGCGTGGCCGCCGCAAGGAGTTTCCCCAGGACTCCCCGACGGCATCGCCCGCGCGCCGCGACGACAACGTCGGCGCGCTCCCCCGCGAGGGTCGCGCCCGCTCCCTCCCCTTCTTTCAGTCCCTCTTTGCCCGCGCACTCAAAAGTCCAAGGCTGCGGGCGCAGCGCAGCGCGGAGTCCCCGCGACGCCCGCGGGTCGCCCTGGAGGGGTCCCAGCGACGCGCGCGGGTCGCCCGCTGCGCGGAGCTAAGAGAGCTAGCTGGCTGGCCGATAGCGGGCAAGGCTCTCGCCGCTGGGCAGAGCGACGACGGGCTAGCGAGGCGCTGGGCAAAACGCAACACGGAGTCCCCGCGACGCGCGCCGGTCGCCCCAGAGGGGTCCCAGCGACGCGCGCGGGTCGTCCGCTGCGCGGAGCTAAGAGAGCTAGCTGGCTGGCCGATAGCGGGCAAGGCTCTTGCTGCCGGGCAGAGCGACGACGGGCGAGCGAGGCGCCGGGCAGAACGCAGCACGGAGTTCCCGCGACGCGCGCCGGTCGCCCCGAGAGGGTCCCAGCGACGCGCGCGGGTCGCCCGCGGCGCGAGGCCGAATAATTAGTCAGACCGTCGAGAGACGGCGAGGCTCGGGCGGGCCGTTCCTCTGATCAAGCCTCTCGGATAAACTCGGTGAAGCCCAGCTCCCTGGCGATGGCCGCCGCCTCCCTCCTGCACCGCCTCGCGCGCGCAGCAAACTGCTCCAGCTGCTTCCGCAAGCCCTCCGGCGGCCCTGCCAAGAAGAACTCGACGCGCGGCGCCCGCATGAGCAGGAGGTCCTCGTGGCGCGTGGCGCGCGAGAGCAGCGCGTAGAGCTCCAGCCACCAGTTGTCGTACTCCTTCTTGCCGTTCCCCACTTCGTGGCGGCCGCAGTCCAGGATCACGCCTGGGCGATGTCGGCCGAGGGAGCAGCGCGCTGGAAAGGCGACGGCCCAGGGCGAGTCCACGGGACCGAGAGACGGTCTGGCTGCCGACTGCTCGCGCCCAGCAGGTCTGGCCGAAAACTGAGTGAGGGAGACGCATGAGGACTGCGCCATGGGGACCTTCGGTGGGGCTCTATATGGGGCCACGAAACGCTGCACTGGGTAAAGGAGACGCATGCGGACTGCGCCACGGGGACCTTCGGTGGAGTTCCCTATGGGGCCACGAAACGTGTGAGGGGTGTGCCGAAATGAGTGGCGGGGACGCATGCGGACTGTGCCACTGGGACCTTCGGCGGAGCTCCTATGGGGCCACGAAACGTGTGAGGGTGGGCCGAAATGAGTAGCGGGGACGCATGCGGACTGTGCGCCACTGGGACCTTCGGCGGAGCTCCTATGGGGGAGCTACTACGGGGCCACGAAAAATGTTAGGGGTGGGCCGAAATGAGTGTCGGGGACGCATGCGGACTGTGCCATTGGGACCTTCGGCGGAGCTCCTGTGGGGCCACGAAACGTGTGAGCGGTGGGCCGAAATGATGAATGGCGGGGACGCATGCGGACTGTGCCACTGGGACCGTCGGCGGAGCCCCTATGGGGCCACGAAACGTGTGAGGGGTGGGCCGAAATGATGAATGGCGGGGACGCATGCGGACTGTGCCACTGGGACCGTCGGCGGAGCTCCTATGGGGCCACGATACGTGTGAGGGGTGGGCCGACATGAATGGCGGGGTCGCATGCGGACTGTGCTGTGCCACTGGGACCTTCGGCGGAGCTACTATGGGACCACGAACCGTGTGAGGGGTGGGCCGAAATGAATGGCGGGGACGCGTGCGGACTGTGCCACTGGGACCTTCGGCGGAGCTCCTGTGGGGCCACGAAACGTGTGAGGGTGGGCCGAAATGATGAATGGCGGGGACGCATGCGGACTGTGCCACTGGGACCTTCGGCGGAACCCCTATGTTGCCACGAAACGTGTGAGCGGTGGGCCGAGATGAATGGCGGGGACGCATGCGGACTGTGCCACTGGGACCGTCGGCAGAGCTCCTATGGGGCCACGAAACGTGTGACGGGTGTGCCGAAGTGAATGGCGGGGACGCATGCGGACTGTGCCACTGGGACCTTCGGCGGAGCCCCATATGGGGCCACGAAACGCTGTACTGGGTGGGGAAGACGCATGCGGACTGCGCCACGGGGACCTTCGGTGGGGCTCCATATGGGGCCACGAAACGCTGTACTGGGTGAGGGAGACGCATGCGGACTGCGCCACGGGGACCTTCGGCGGAGCCCCTAATGGGGCCACGAGACGCTGCACTGTGCGGGGGGGACGCATGCGGACTGCGCCACGGGGACCTTCGGCGGAGCCCCTATGGGGTCACGAAACGCTGTACTGGGTGGGGAAGACGCATGCGGACTGCGCCACGGGGACCTTCGCTGGGCTCCATATGGGGCCACGAAACGCTGTACTGGGTGGGGGAGACGCATGCGGACTGCCCCACGGGGACCTTCGGTGGGGCTCCATATGGGGCCACGAAACGCTTTAGTGGGTGAGGGAGACGCACGCGGACTGCGCCACGGGGACCTTCGGTGGAGCCCATATGGGGCCACGAAACGCTGTACTGGGTGGGGGAGACGCATGCGGACGGCGCCACGGGGACCTTCGGTGGGGCTCCATATGGGGCCACGAAACGCTGCACTGGGCGGGGGAGACGCATGCAGACTGCGCCACAGGGACCTTCGGTGGGGCTCCCTATGGGGCGACGAAACGTGTGATGATGTTGATGATGCTCATGTTGTTGATGATGATGATTATGATGATGATGATGATGATGATGATGATGATGATGCTGATGCTGATGCTGATGCTGATGCTGATGCTGATGATGATGATGATGATGATGACAACGACGATGATGACGATGATGATGATGCTGATGATGATGATGATGATGCTGATGCTGATGCTGATGCTGATGCTGATGATGATGATGATGATGATGATGATGACGATGATGATGATGATGATGATGATGATGATGATGATGATGATGATGATGATGATGATGATGATGATGATGATGATGATGATGATGATGATGATGATGATGATGATGATGATGATGATGATGATGATGATGATGATGATGATGATGATGATGATGATGAGAGGAGGGGAGGAGGGAGAAGGAATGAGGAACGCGGGGACCGTCTCTTCAAAACGAGGACCCAACACCACAGGATGGCTGGGAAATAGACAAGTCGAGCCCACATCCTCCGACCCCAGCTGCTCCGACCCCATCTTGGAGGCCCAGATGTTCGCGACGCAGCCGACGGCGAGCCCCCAGAAGGGGGCCGAGAGAACCTCCACGAGCCGCCGGAGAAGCTCGGGGCCCATCGCGGCAGGACGTCGGCAGGGCGGGCGAACCGCTGCTTCCCCCCCAGAAATAGGGCGGGCGGTGCCGAAGAATTTGTTTGAGACCAAAGAAATTGGGGTGGGCAAAGAATTGTTCATGAATTGTTTCTGGAGGTGGTCCTGGCCCGAGGTGCTCCCAGCCTTTCGCACCAGTTTTATAACCTCTGGGGCCCCCTGGGACTAGTGAGGGGGTGCTCTGGAAGCTACCTGCACCTCCCTCGGAGAGCTGAGGTCACCTCGGGCCAGGACCACAAGTAGCGACACCGGACAGGGGGGCGGAAGGGTTGACCAATGACACATGACGAATACTACTCTCCTCTCTCCCCTGAGTCTGCCAGGAGGATGTTCCGCCCTCCGCGTGCTGTGTTTTTTGCTCACAGAGGTGGGCAAAAGTCCGACACTTGTTTTACAATCCGATTGCCTTCGGTGTTTCAAAATGGTATTCCCGCTGCTGCGTGGGCCTCATTTTCGGATCGGCGCTTTGCTCCAGTCGTTCAGAATGGAGCTCCCCTACTTTCTGAATCCGAGTCCTCCCTGAATCCGAGTCCTTCCTCATTGTTGTCGCCCCCCTTCTTTCTCCTCATTCGCCTTCCCCTGGTCCTCCACCTCCTCCTGCTCTTTGCGCTCAAATTTCCGCTGCTGCTGTTCGTCCTCCTCCCGATCATCCGTCCTCATCCTCCCTCTTTCCGTTCTGCTCAGCTCCTCCACCCTCCCCTGGCCCTCATACTCCTCCCACTCCTTCCACTCAGGTGCCTGCTGCTGCTGTTCGCCCTCGTCCTCGTCCTTCGCCTCCGCCTCCGCCTCCTCCTCCTCCTCCTCCTCCTCCTCCTCCTCCTCCTCCTCTGTACGCAGCTCCCCCTTGTGCGATTGCACATAGCACAATAGGCTTTTTTCTGGAGTTCTAGGGTCGGCTAGGACGCGCGCCCGCGAAGAGAGAGAGGGGGGGGGGGAAACGCAATTGTTGGAAGGGATGGGGGGGAGGGACAGACTGTGAGATGGCGCGAGCGCACCTGGATGCCAACCTCAGGTCGGGCGTGTCCCCCTGCGTGCCCCCCAAAAAGTACACAGACAAATACTCTAAAATGGTCAAAAAATCATCCCCTTACTATTTTTGTACTATTTTGGAGTGTTCCTGTCGGCGGCGAGCGAGGGGAGGGAAGTGAGAAGGCCTTCTCAGAAGGCTCGGAAGTTCCCCGGCCGTCTGAGAAGTTTTCTAAGCCTTCCCCGAAGACGCAGAAAGCTTCTCACAGGCGCCAGGGCTTCTGAGAAGTCCCGCCGCCCTCTGAGACGGCCTTCTCCTTCTCACTTCCTCCCCTCCCTCGCCGCAGATCCTCCTGTAGAGTTAAGTCGGGCCTGTCCCCCTACAGGGGGATCTTCGGCGAAAAATGAAAGATACTCCAAAAATACTCCAACATGGTCAAAGATTGTCCTTTTTCTACGGAAAAAAGTCCCCCGCCTATTTTTTGAGTATGTTTGAATCTCCCCCACTGCAGAGGGAGAGGCCCGACTTCACTCTAGCGCCCAGAGCGCGAGGCGCCCGCGAGGCGCCCGCGAGGGCGGGCGCCCGGGCGACGTGCCTCGGCACGGCCCCCGCCCACCGCGCGAGGGCGCGCCCGCGAGCGTCCGCGGGCGGGCACCCCGAGCGAGGCCTCGGCACACCCGTCCGGCACGAGGGGCGCGAGAGGCACCCACGGGCGCCCAACAACAACAGAAACAACAACAACAACAGCAACAACAACAACAACAACAACAACAGCAACAACCACAACAACAACAGCCACAACAGAAACAACCACAACAACAAAAACAACTGCAGCAGCGGCAACAACAACAACGTCGACAACAACAACGTCGACAACAACAACAACCACAACAACAACGTCGACAACAGCAACCACAACAACCAAAAGCGCAACAACGGTGACAACAACAACGTCGACAACAACAACCACAACAACCAAAAGCACAACAACAGTAACAACAGCAACAGCAACAACCACAACAACAACAATAACAACAACCACAACAACTGCAGCAGCAGCAACAACAACAACGTCGACAACAACAACGTCGACAACAACAACCACAACAACAACGTCGACAACAGCAACCACAACAACCAAAAGCACAACAACGGTGACAACAACAACGTCGACAACAACAACCACAACAACCAAAAGCACAACAACAGTAACAACAACGTCGACAACAACAAGCACAACAACCAAAAGCACAACAACAGTAACAACAGCAACAGCAACAACAACAACAACAACCAC